AATACTCTCTTCAACCTGTTATATTCCTGTCAACACCTTGGTTTGTTTCTATTCAACGCAGTATAAATCTACCAATTCGTTATGGAACAACAGTGAATCCTAAAACATTTCCATGTAAATCATATACGGTACCACTTTTGATGCACCGGATGCGCATTTAGACAAATAATGTCCCTTAAGTGATGCTCATGCCGAAACGTTGGAAAACATCGTTAAACATAACGATGGGAAAGGCTACTATTCCCATTCTGTACCCATTGCCTTCTTTCCTTCCTCCTTGCACTAACAGCACGTCTGTGAATGAATAATTGAATTAACTCATTATGTTATGTATGTACCTATGCTTTCTTGAATGCAATTTTGACCTTTTTAATATTAAAACTTGTTTTATTTGGAGCAGACGAAATATAATGTATGGTATCAAACGATAGAGATTGAATTAATGCACTGATTGTATAATGTATACATTACATGAAGCTCTGAGTTGATATTAAAAAGATCCTTGAGTTTCTGACCGACAATATCTATTTGGTTTTGGAGATAAGGTTTTCCAACTATCTATTGGAATTTCCATGAATACTACCTGTGCCTAGTTATTAGAAAACTTGTTTTGAGCAGAACTTGATCATCATTTGAACCGCATAAGGTAAGTCTGAAACTGGTGTTTGTTTTAAAGATTCTGGTGGTTGTATGTTTTGAATTGTGGCACACTTTAAACTATCTTCAACAAGCTGCTTAAGGTCAAGATCTTTTAAATGAGTTTAGACTTTCTTCTTGGTGTTAGAATTATTATGACGTCATAATTGATTTAAAATTAATTTTTCCTGTACTTTACGGCTTCAATAGAATTATGTAGAAAATAAAGCACTTTCATGGAATTTAATTTGAAAGTATGTCAAATGTAACCCAGATACCCTTATTCCGTTTAATATCATTTTAAAGTAGAGATCAAGAAGATATGAAAAACCGTTTTCTTAGAGACTGTAGGTAATATTGATACATTTCTTTTGTCTGAGATGGTAAAAACTCCGATATTTATACCAGACTTTCTTCATTTTTCATTGAAAATGGGCAGTTTATAATATGTTTTTTCCGATGAGTTTACCCCAAAATTATGTCCGGATACACCTTATTTTACCAAGCTATATTCGTAAAGGATCATTAAAAGAATGTGTATCTCAAATTTGAGGGCACCTTTCATTCACTAGATCTTGACCTTAACTTGAGAATTCATTCCAGGCCAGTACATCACATCATTGACAAGCTGCTTACATTTACTTAAATATTTTATATTTAACGTGTACGATACTTAGCGGAAATAGATTTCTGAACAAGTTAGCGTAGATTTGATTTAGCGCATTTCTTAATATTTTTATTCATGTGTATATGTGCAAACATTTAGTGTTTTACTTGAATTAGCGGAAGCTAGCGGGTGCTAAAAAGAATACACAGTCAAATGTAATACGTTTACAGTATTATTCCGAAACCTGTGTATAATTTTAATTACTCAATAAGGGTGCGCTCTCTGATGTCTCCTTACCTCTTCCTGCTGACAGATAATCAGTAAAAAGCTTTAATGTCATCCCTATCAAGGCCCGGTTTATAGTTCGGTAAATAAGCCTGAGACAATGCGTTAGCTGCGACCATATCCTTGCTTTTCCGATATTTAAAGTGTCAAGGGTGAAGAAAACGAACAGTGATCAATTTCATACATCCAGTAAACAAAACAAAGGGACCCCTGGAAACACTCGAGGCGGGATCAACTTTTCCACTATCAACTTTTCTTTTTAGCTCACCTGAGGCAAAGGCTCAAGTGAGCTTTTCTGATCAAAATTTGTCCGTTGTCTGTCGTCGTTGTTGTCGTTGGCGTTGTCGTTGTTGTTGTAAACTTTTCACATTTTCATCTTCTTCTCAAGAACCACTGGGCCAAATTCAAACAAACTTGCCACAAAGCATCCTTGGGTAAAGGGGATTCAAGTTTGTTCAAATGAAGGCCCACGCCCTCTTTCAAGGGGAGATAATTAGGAATTAGTGAAAAAATAATGGCATCATTTAAAAATCTTCTTCTCAAGAACCACTGGGCCAGGAAAGATGAAACTTACGTGGAAACATCCTCAGGTAGTGTAGATTCAAATTTGTTCAAATCATGACCCCCGGGGGTAGGGTGGGGCCACAATGGGGGATCTAAGTTTTACATAGAAATATATAGGAAAATATCTTTAAAAATCTTCTTCTTAAGAACAGTAAAGCCAAGATTGGTCATATTTATATGGAAGCATCCTCAGGTAGTGTAGATTCAAGTTTGTTCAAATCATGACCCCCGGGGGTAGGGTGGGGCCACAATGGGGGATCCAAGTTTTACATAGAAATATATAGGAAAAAATCTTTAAAAATCTTCTTCTTAAGAACAGCAAAGCCATGATTGGTCATATTTTTATGGAAGCATCCTCAGGTAGTGTAGATTCAAGTTTATTCAAATCATGACCCCCGGGGGTAGGATGGGGCCACAATGGGGGATCAAAGTTTTACATAGAAATATATAGGAAAATATCTCTAAAAATCTTCTTCTTAAAAACAGTAAAGCCCCACTCATATGGAAAAACGTGTTTTAAAATGAAGAATCGATCATTTTCGCCTTCTTTGGTGTATGTTTGTTATTTTACAGAAGAATAATTTCAAACTTTGTGAGATTATTGCAAATTGTAAAGATTTTACATAAAGTATACGTAAATATTAAAGGAAATATCATAGAAAATGTTGTCATAATTGAGATTTAATTTTTCATTTTCTTAATTGTTAAATTCATGGAAAAAAAGTGTATTCTTTCGTCCAACAATTTTGTGCCTGCTACAACGATGATAATAGTTAAGATTTAAGTCATTTTGATTTTGTTCAAAATTGGCAGGGTCATAATAAGAATGATTTTTATAATAAAGTCAATACAATTTTACAGATATAGAGATTTGTTTATTGCAGATCGCCACAGGATATCCTCTTTGTTGTCTGTCTGTCTGTTACATCTTATCACATATTTGAGGAATCTATCAAAGCTCTATCAAGTCCACAAAGCGCTTTAACGTGAACACTACCTATTCATGTTTCACTTTTTTTTATCAAATGTAGATGAGTTGCCCTGAGACGAAATGAAGCTATAGCAATTTTAAGCAAGCACTTAAATTCTTGTTGTAGTTCCATCCAATGAAAAGTATGAAAAAATATTTTAACAGAATCAAATTGTTTACATGTTGAGTGGTAAATTATAATAAGTAAAACTAGGAATATTTCTAAAACACTTTCTAAATCCCTTACTACAATCTAAAAAAATAATATAACGAATAGTGATCGTTCTCATATATCAGTAAACAAGTCGTAAACATGGGGGAAAAACATGGAACCCTTGAAACACCATAGGAGGGATCAGGTGCCTAGGAGGAGTAAACATCCCCTGTCGAACAATCACACCCGCCCATGTATTGATCAGGTATACGGATTACTGCGTAGCCAAATTTATTTTTAAAAAAAAGCAATGGCCTTACAAATTGCATAAAACATGTCAGACAAAAGGGTTGCATTTAAAAACAAGGTCATGATAACGAACGTAGAATTTGCGAAAAGCTGACTTTATATGGGGTTGTTGAAATCCTTGTAATATCAAATTATTTGTCAGTAGCTTTGCCTCGGTTTTAAAATTGAGCGCATTCAGAAGCATGCTCTTGCGTAAAGAATTATTTAGGAAACATAAACACCATACGCAGGTGGTGTATGAATATCAACGCTACATAAATAAGGGAAGTTTACGGTAGAAAATCTGGAGCCATTCCATTTATCATAGAGTTTAGTTATTAGTTGGTCATTATTGCCTATGGTCAGTAAAAAATCCGAATATGAAACCAGTCAAGTCTGATCATGGCTAATTCTTGTACTACATGTAAGTTAACATATAGTTCTCCTTTTTGACAGTGCTAACAAAAATTTGAAACGAAAAGGAAAAAGCAAGAATAAAAATATACATTTATTACATATACTTATCTGAAAAGTATTCTTAAGCAAGTTTTTTGACTTCTTAAGGTTATTTCCTTGACAAGCAGAGCAGAGTGTTTAAGTCAATGTCAGTACTGAAATATTACTAATAGTCATAGTCATGAAATATGGAGATAACATACAGTATTCAAGTTCAAAGTCCATTTAACACGTACCTCCAAAAACATCAGAGATGGGATCAGGTGCCATGGATAGGTGAGCATCCCCTGCCGACCGGTCACGCCCGCGGGTTACATTGTATCGCGGTATTTTTAAAAAAAGGATACATAACACATGTCCTCATTGTAAAAGGACTGTCTGTCTGTCTGATGATAAAAAAATATGGAACACACGTGGAGAAAAAAGAATTCATATAAAGAGTAATCTTTCTGACTTCCAATCCCGTTCTAAATTTTTTTAGACCATAGAATGTGTAAAGTAAATACCTTAGTGAATTTCATATTTTGAAAGCCTTAAGTTCTTATCATTGTTTAGTTTTCATTTTGATTCACCTGCTGAAAAAAAAAAAATTGCACTTCATAATAGTCCCAAGCTTCCAAGTATTCCAATACCGAGATACAACGAGATTCCACAAAGAAAAATTTTTTATGCATTTTGCCAGGATTTTGCTGGCACAGATGTACCGACATACTTCTCTAAGTGCAAAGATTTTATTTAACAAATAGAACTTACAATTTCGTCCGAAATACTTCATAACATAATTTGTTTTAGTAATAAATTTTGTCTAATCATTGTAACAAAGGACAACATAACAACCATCAGTGCGGTGTACTCAGGAACTTAAAGATTTCCTCGAGGAAAAGTTTGTAAATGAAGGGCGTAACTTAATAAAAGAAAAGGGAAGTGTACAAAATACAATTTTAGAAAGTATTTTCTCCTCCAAATACTCCAGGCACCTTATAACAATTTGTATATAAAAGAATTGACGTGTTTCTACACATCATAGCCTTTATATAAGTATGTTGCATTACATCGTCCCCTGTGTCCTGTGTATCTCGGTTACGAACGGGTTGTCTGCTCTAACAGATGACGAAATACAGAATGTCACCAGTCTGCTGGGACAGGAATCAGGCGGCAAACCAAACACAGATCTCTTCAGACAGCTACTGAACCAGGAGACCTTGATCAGAATGGCGCTGGTGAAAAACGTCCACACCCTGATGAAGGATATGGTGGAAATGAAACAAAGTATGGCTACCAACGACAGAAGACTTCAAGAGGCTGAGAAAGAAATCTTAGTTCTCAAACAAGAGGTGCAGACAATAGAGTCTGAAAATCAACAAATAAAGGAGCAGGCTACAAAATTCCAACAGGGATTTACCGACTTTGATAAAAAGCTCGAAAAAATTGAGGAAAAATTCACTCAAGTCGCAAATAGCTGCGTTGAATATGAGAGGATATTGGACACAAAAAGGCGGGACTATGAGAAAAACACTTCCGGTATACTGGACGATATAAAAACAGAAGTTCGCTATTTGTCATTGACTTTGTTAGATCTAAATAAACACACTCTAGAGTTGGATAAATCTATTCCAAATCTCATCGACAACAAGATGACACTTTACTCTGGAAAACTGAATGCTTCACTTGAAATGTTGAGCGAAGACATTGCGGCATCTTCCATTAACAGTGAGCAGTTGTCAACAAACGTGTCTACTTTGGAAAAGTATCACACAACCATTATGAGAATGATGTCAGGTACAGTATATAATCCTTTAATAAAACCATTCAATTTTCAGAACAGGGTGTGAAACGATTGCTTTCTTCAATTTTACTTTTCAACTTTATTTCCAGACGAGCTTAACAAGACAATTTATGGTTTGAAAGCGGAAGTAGAACATTCCCAGAATGAACAGCAAAAACTGTCGTCTGCTGTGGCATCCTTGGAAATTTTCAAACTGAACATGTCTTTAAACAGCTGTGGTAAGTCGTATATGTATAGATAACCTCCCTTTTTTTTTTTAGCTTGTTACACATTTCTTACTGTTTTACCATCACGTCTGTCTTGGTCAGTGCCGGATTCGGGGAGGGGGAACCACGGCTAAAATTTACCTCACGTTGCAAAATTGTGATTGACTACCCGGATTTTTTTTTACACAAAGGTATGGAATATACGCCAACAACTAGCAGGAAATCCCTTTCCGCTTGAATGCACACACTACACAGGTAATCAACAGGGTGGTAGGGATATCATGAGTTTCATGATGGATAATGACTGTTAGGCCTTTATTTTAATACTAAATTTGACAACAGAATATTCCGTCTACTTGGTTTATACAAAGGGCTCACGGCAGGAATGACCGGTCAACACGGGGTGCTTACTCCTCCAAGGCACCTGATCCCACCTCTGGAATTTCCGTGGGTACGTGTTTTATGCGCTATTTGCAGATTTTGTATTTTTTCAAAGATCTATTACTGGTCGTTATTTCAACGTTTTAATTTATGTAAGTGATGGCCCAAGGTCTTGTTTTGGCATAACTGTACTGTGATATTCTGTATTAATTATACTTTATTGACCTATGTAAATAAACGTTGTTTTTAATTGATACTTCTATTCAAGGTAATACAATATTTTAACAATCGAATGGGCTTTACTCTTCGGACAGTTAATCCTTCCCTCCAATTGTGACGTGTACGAAATTGATTTAGTCTAAAGTTAAAAAACATTTCTTGTATAAATTTATAGAAATTACAATTTAATTAACCTTTTAAAGCAAAAGAGTTGCATATATCATATAAAAATACAGTTGACTAATTTGAAAATTTTGTTTCAATGTGTTTCATGAAAAAAGTTACCATTTTGTGTAATGATTTGTAGTTAAACATGATGTCTAATTAAATTCCTGGCAAAAAAGAAAAAATAACGATTCAGTCTAAATGCTGGAAAATAACCATATTGAGTTTTAAAAAATGCGGGAGAGTCCCCCAATCCCCATAGAATTGGGTACCCCCTCACATACCCTCTCCTTTGAGAATCAACCCTCTCCCTTACATTGACCTCTAGATCTGCCACTGTAGGTTAATGCTATTTCACCATTTTATTATTCAACTTTTATCCTTTATGCACCTGGCATATACGAGGGATGTTAAAAAAATAATGACACTTGGCTGTTTTCACCCACATTTTGATCCTTTTATTCGTCCCTGCCCTTCAAAGTAATCAAACGTGGCCTGGATACACTTTTTTAGATGATTAATCCACTTCTGAAAACATTTTTCACACTCCTCAACGCTAGCTCCGTGATCGGGAGGTCATGTGTTCGAATCACGGCCGCGACTGACCTAAGTCGATAAAAATATAGGTAGCAACTGTTCCTTCGCCAAACGCTCGACACTTTGAAGTGAAAGTTGCGGGTCCTTCGGATGAGACCTTAGAAACCGAGGCCCCATGTCACGGTAGGCGTTGGCACAATAAAGAACCCTCACTGCTCAATGGCCCTAAGTGCCGAGTAAAGATCTAAATTTGAAGCCCTTCACAGGTATATGGTGACGTCTCTATATGAGTGAAAAATTCTCGAATGGGACGTAAAACAACATACAATTAATCAATCAATCAATCATACTACTCAAAAGGGACACCCATCACATACTGATAAATTGCAGACCCAAGGGCATTTCGTGATTGTATCTTTTTTCAGGTAGGTGGAATTTAAGTTTTGGGAACAGAAAGAAGTCGCACAGGGCTAAATCTGGAGAAAACTGGGGATGTTATTGGACAGTAACCTTTTTTTCCTCCTCCAAATACTCGGTCACAATGCGTGCTTTGTGTGCAGGCGCATTGTCGTGCAAAAGTCGGTGATACTTCATTACCTAGCAGCAATAATGTAGCCCTCTCCGATTTTTTTTGTGGGGGAGTGGGGCTACAACTCCATGGGATCTCCGCAATGGTGCAAGTGCGGGAGTGATTCACTACCGCACAGATTTCGACTTAAATTATCAGTAATTAGGTGACTATTTTATTATAATTACTTAACTGAACTCATTAAATGTAGTTATGCAAGACATTAATTGATCCAAAAATATACAGAACCATCCATATAGCGGCTATTTTTCGCGTATGTCATCATCTTAACTTGAATTTATCCGGCATGTTTACTGACCTTGATCGAATTTATTTTGGGACAGCCAATGAGAATTCGGGATCTAGGAAGCGCATCTATTTAGGAATTTCCTTATTTAAGGCATAAATATCACTGTTTATAATAAAAATATCACACGGAATGCTTTAGATTATCGATGTTTAGTAATAGCATACAACAGTGAACACAATCATTAATCAACAGCGACATTTACTTTTACCAAGTTATTCTAAATTTTAAGCCCAAGTCTCAGTACATCACGCGAGAACTGTCATGGCTGCTGAGGAAAACGACTGGTAAACACGCAGATATATTTTACATGGTTTTCGCGTATAAAGGCCCGGGCTTTGTTGTTGACACTGAATAAAAATTCCATCTAATTAGAAGTAATTTGAATGCAAAAACAATTTATTTTGCCTGTAATCGCCGGTATTTAAAAAAATATTTTAGCACATTACAGATATGTCATAGAATGGTAGCCCTCTCCTGAAAATAGATTAAATCAAAGTACTTAAAGTACTGCTACGAGTTGATGGTACTGAATGTATCATGTCTAGATGAATTGTGGTCTCTAATCCAACTTTGGGTCATGTGAGATGCAAACTCATAAGATGTGATTTGTGATGCTGTGTATAATGATAAAAACTATCACTTTACAATATCTTCTTTTTTGTTTGTTTGTTTTTGTTTTTGTTTTTTGTTGTTTTTTTTTTTTGTTTGTTTGGTTTTTTTTTTTTGTTTTTTGAAAAATCAAGTTTTATCTATTCATTTGCACCTTTTAAATCATGCCTCTTTAACACGTATGCTTTTTAAGAAATCTACTTCTATAGTAATTAATTACATATCAATCTTTTTGATAAAAGAAACAAATGAAACTAGTAAATGTTTAAATTCTAGTCAGATGACAATTTATCTTGAATTCAAAGTAATTTGTTTAGCAAAAAAAAAAAGAAAGAAAGAAAAAAAAAAAGAAAAAAAAAGAAAAAAAAACATTAAAGAGTAAAATCAATGAAATGTTTACAGAGCTGAATATTTGTATCATCATTAAGACTACCGCGAACAGTTTTTGAAGACTCGATATCTTTTTAAAGAATTTTTGTATATGAAAGTGACAAGAAATTTCAAAAGGGGAGATAATGGCACAACTGTTGTAAAATAAACATTACAGAAATAAATAGGCTTCTAAATACACCCCCCCCCACACTAAAAAAAACAGCTTTTTACACACATATCTCAAAATAAAAGTATTACAAGTAGGAAATTATTATATACAAATTTAATTTTTTTCATTAATATGCACATTAAATATATTTTCACTGCTTTCTTAAATTGAGACGTTTTCATACCAATAATTTGAAAACTCTATGCACATCAATGTGTTTCAATTCTGATTAAGGGATTCTTGAAATTCATCTCTTTTACTTTCATCTATATGAATATTACATACATTGTATATCAATTCTCTTGATTTAGTCACTATTTAAATTCAAATCCTTGACTTTCAAAATTTATGTGCACATTTGATATTTTAATTCTCTTGATTTAGCAACTCTTGAAATCCAACTCCTTGTCTCTTGATTTAGCGACTATTGAAATTTAACTACTTGACTTTAATTGATATGCACATTTAGTATTTCATTTTCCTCGATTTAGCCTTTCTTGAAATTCAACTACTTGATTTTCATTGTCTGGAGACTTTAAATTCATCAAAATGGCATGTTATATTGACTGTTTACATGATCTAACTACAGTATTTTTATTAAAACAATTAAACTCTTGAATTAATTTGACTTTTCGCATAGAAAATTCTTACGATTAATATTTAGCGGTTGCTCATTGGATGAAAAAGTAGGCATTATTTGATTTTTTTTCATATATATATTTTTCTATTCATTTCAAACAAGGACTTTGTTCTAATGCATGATTTGAAATTGCACATTTTATACTTGTTAGATATGTCTTTTTTATTTTAATAGGTAAGACATCCCACGTTGGCTTTACAGCTGGTATGACGAGTTCCGACTCCACCTGGTCTGGGAGTACCTTAGTATTCCCTCATGTTGTCTATAATAATGGAAATGGATACAACCCCAGCACCGGGGTATTTACCTCACCCACGGCCGGTACATACGTCTTTTATGTCAATGTTAACGGCTATAGTAATAATTATATTTACCTAGACATTGTTCTTAACGGGAGTTCAAAAGTCAGGACAATGTCGCACAACACTGCATCGTTTATGACGGGAACAAATATGGCTGTCCTCCAACTGGTCAAGGGCGATAGCGTGTGGATTAAACGTGCTAATGGTAAAAGCTACTATTCTGAATCTGTACCAATAACTACCTTCTCTGCTTTTCTCTTGTAACAACAGCAGGCCTCTGATCACCTAATTCTGTCATGTGTATCCCCGTACAATCAGGAAATTTCCATTAAGAAAACTTGCGTTCGAGTAAGGAAGGAGTAATAAAAAAACATGGACTGGATAACAAAATAAAACGCTAGAAATGAAAAAATGACATAGCTTGTGTGTTACTTTTTAAAATTATTTGTAACCATTCCTTTGCTTGCTTTATTTTCAGGGACAAATGTCATTGCTCTAGCAACTTTGTTATATTGCATCTTTGAAAGTGTTTTAAAAGAATAAAACTAATTCTTTCAAATTATAAATATTGTATACAGATCAAACAATAACACCAAATGAGTTCCTTATAATTAGATATTTGCAATTAGAAAATTCAGTTAGAATGGAATAATTTCCTTTCGTAGAGTTCCATGAACCGATACATTGACAAAGTTGTTGTTCGTGCATATATGTTAATGGCGGGTAAAAATGACACATGAAAGAACGAGATGGGGATGCGTACTCCTCCACGTGATCACATCTCTGATGTTTCTAGAAATCCATGTTGCCGTGTTCTTAATGTATAATGTTTTATTGGGCTTTTGAGCTTGATTATCTTCATATTTCATTTTCATAAAAACTATTTTGAATTCATCAATCTTTTTGAGTTTATCGTAAATCTTGATATGTTTCAGTGCTGGTAACTGGTAACTCATAAATATCTTATGAAGCAAGGTAGAATATCTCTCTTCTTGTAGTGGCTAGATGGTTTAATTAAGAAGTATGGTGAGCGAGTAGTAGAGACAAAGGAGACGAAGTTTCAGAAGCTTCAGACTCAGGGGCACCTTGCCCAGAATGGCTCTAGTAAAAATCCTCTCAACATAATTAAAATAGAAAAAGAAAAAATGGATAATAAAAGAAGACAGAATTTAGCATTTGGCATAAGACTACTACATTACATCTACATCAGAAAGCACACAGAGATAGAAAACCAACGAAAAAACCGGAACAAAACATGGTATAATAAGAATAGCATTGCTCAACTTCAACAACTCATTCTAAAAGATGGACTGAAAATGATGGATTTTTTGCATTAATTAATTTAAAAATATTTTGAATCGTCATCAGTCGTCTAATAAAATATATAGAGATAATGAACAGAATTCAATCTCAAAAATCCATTCAAACAATACAAATCAGGGGCAGCGCAAACACGGACGTCTAAAACATCAGAGGTGGGATCAGGTGCCATGGAGGAGTGAGCATCCCCTGCTGACCAGTCACAACCGTCGTGTGCTTCTTGTCATGATCGGGAAATAACTGGAAAATCTGTCGACAATTCAGTGTGTAAAAAATGGTCTAACAACTAGTATGAAAAACATCAGTCAGCACTTGACTTAATGATGGATTGTACTTGCTTGACAAAGTCATTGTATCGACCATAGAACATACGAAATGATGACATTAAACCAGACTATTGATATTCTTGTTTCATCAACTTGTTTGTCAATAACGTACCTCATTAAAAAAATTGTTCATACGTAGAGCATACTCTTGCGTATCGAATCAATTGAGAGATATAAACCCAAATGCAGGTGATAAGGGTATATTGCTGCATACATAAGGGAAGTTGACGATTGAAAAGTTAAAGTCATCACGTTTGTCATAAAACTTTGTTGTTACTTTACCAATTTTGCGGTCCTTGTTTGCTCTGCTCCAAATATGTATCGTTTCATTGGACTTTCGAGATTGAATACTGTTCGTTATCTTCATATTTCATTTTGACCACCGAACATGTATCTCTGCTGGTGGACAGTCTGTCCCCGAGGATACTTGTCTTCCGGTACTTATTCATTCATGAGTAGCACAAAGTATAACGAAAAGATACTGGCAGACGCGTCGCCTAAACGTCATAAAAATCCTTACAAACAAGGATACTTAGCGGGTTTCAGTAAATGTTCTACCAAGCCTCTTTCTTTACTTCTCACTAAAATATTTACTGAAGTCGAAAAAATTCAGGAGTACTGTACAACAGTGTATTATAGAAGGTAGGTGTAAATCAGATGTGGATACCTAAAAACTCCAAAGAACTTTTGGAAAGTTTGAAATCATAAAATTTTACTAAAATCAATAGCATCAAAACGTACGACTTCTCAACACTTTATACAACCATTTTCCTCGATAAATTGAAGTCCAGGCTTTTTGACATCATAAACAGCTGCTTTTTCAATGAAAATGGAACTCGTAAATATACTTATCTTGTCATTGGTCATTTGCAAAATTATTCTGTTAAAAAGCACACTGATTCTACACACAAGTACTCAGAAATTGATATTAAAAAGATGCTTGAGTTTCTGATTGACAATATCTATGTAGTTTTTGGAGATCAGGTCTTCCAACAATCTGTTGGAATTCCCATGGGTGCCAATTGCGCCTCCTTATTAGCAGACCTATTTTTGTATTCATATGAAGCAGAATTTATTCAAAAACTTCTACATGAGAAGAAGAAAACACTTGCTGTGGCCTTCAACTCGACATTTCGATATATCGACGACGTATTATTAATTAACAATAGTTACTTTCATTCATATGTTGACTCGATATATAACAGTGAGTTTGAAATAAAAGATACCATAGAGTCTGACACATCTGTTTCATATTTAGATAAATTTACTAGAAAAAAAAATGCTAATGGTAACCTAACAACAAATCCTTATGATAAACGTGATTACTTCAACTTTTCAAACATCAACTTTGCTTACATATGTAGCAATATACTCTTATCACCTGTATATGGGGGTTTATGTCTCTCAGTTGATTCTCTACGTACAAACAATTTCTAAAACGAGGCAAGCTATTGACAAACAAGTTGATGAAACAAGGATATCAACAGTCTCGTTTAGAGTCATCATTTCGCAAATTTTACGGTCGATACAATGACCTTGTCAGCATATAGAACCTATCATTGAGTCAAATGTTGGCTGGCGTTTTTCATACTAATTGTTAGGCCATTATTTATACACTGAACTGTCTACCAATTTTTCCGGTTTTTTCCCGTTCATGACAAGGAGCACACGGAGGGTGTGACCGGTCAACAGGGGATGCTCACTCCTCCATGGCACTTGATCCCACCTCTAAATTTGAGGTCCGTGTTTGCTCTGCTCCAAATTTATATCGTTTCATTGCACTTTCGAGACTGAATACTGTTCGTTATCTTCATATTTGATCAACGTCTTTTTCTAGTAAAATTACCAAATATGAAACAGATGTATCAGACTCTGTGGTATCTCTTATTTCAAGCAGATAATGCGTTGTCGACATATATAAATGTCGAGTTGAAGGCCATAGCAAGTGTTTTCTTCTTCTCATATATAAGATTTTGAATAAATTCTGTTTCATATGAATACAAAAACAGGTCTGCCGAATAACCTAAAAGACTATGTTAGCTTTGTCAGCAATGTAGCTGAAGAGAGAGATAGATGTGGGTTAGTGGATTCATATTGATGTTTCCATTATTCCATGATTTTGCCCAGTTTATGATTTGCATAGTTTTCTTGATTTATGAAATTGATCACTGTACTTTGTCCTTTTCAGTCAATCAGAAAATATCAACATATATTAAATTACTACTACATTGTATAATGATAATTTCTATAAAGATACATAATCCTTTAAATTTCTTTCGAAGAGATAATAGGTTTCCTACAGCAGAAATCACAGAAGACTTCAAAAAATTCGGAGGGAATTTTTTCTTTTTCGTTGACTATTTCAGTACGAAATGTTATGCCTGTGTACCCGTGAAGTACAGATAAAAGCTGTCATTTGTTGCACCAAACTTTACTGTGTCCCTTTCAAAGTTTTATGTGCTATAAATGAAAAGGCTAAAAAAGTCCATATTTGGATTCTTCAACACCAGACTACAGGCTGAATTCTGTGATAATGAATGTTGCCAATCATAGGCTTTTTAAGCCGCCCCGATTTATGAAAAAACTATAAGTCTCAAGAAATCTGTGTCTTAAACTAAAAGCGCAAATAAATATTCTTAATCACAAAGAGATCCAGTCTTGATTTCCATATTTTTTTAAGTTAAAGTCCATACCTTGTAGTTCTTACAAATATTCATCGCCTATTTCTTCGGAACTTTTTAATTACAAGAAAAGTCTACAGTCCCTAGATACTGAACATGTTAAACAAAATCTCCCTATGTGTTCATGTTCTTCTCCCTTCAAATATAGTTTTGCTTGACACGTCATTACTGGTGATGTGAATATAGTTAACAATGAGGATCTTAAATCACTTATTTTTAAAGGCCCAAAATTTAGGAAACCACGACCATTCAACTAGCAAATAAATTTCATAAATTTGCAATCCGTCAAGATTACGCCAGACGATGGGCCAAACATGTAAAAGAAGACCTTGACACTTTGTCAGAATGGATTGAAAGTATGAAGTGGATGTTGAAATATGTTAAATGGCTGAGGAGCAATATGAAAAGCACATATCCTTCTGTCTTCATTGATTCAGAAGGAACTAAAGAATTTAATAGACTATTTTATCACTATGTACTGGTCCAAGCTTACAAAGCAGGTAACAACATACTCTTTGTAAAGTTCATAATTACAATTGCATTTTAAAGGAGCTTGGATTTAATTCTACTACTGGTTTCCATTTTATAGTTCCTTTTTGATATCATAGGCGACTGCTTTTTAAAAAAATATGGAAGTTGGAAATTTTCGTATCTTGTGCACGTGATTGGTCATTAACAAAATTACTTTGTTAAGAATCGCTCTGATTCTAAACACAATTACTCTGAAGTTGAAATTAAAAAGATGCTGGAGTTCCTCATTGACAACATTTATGTATTCTTCGGAGACCAGATCTTCCAACAAACTGTTGGAATTCAATTGGCACCAGTTGTGCTTCTTTATTAGACGACCTGTTTTAGTATTCCCATGAAGCAGAATTTATTCTAAAACTTCTACATGAGATGAAGAAAACAGTTGCTCTGGCCTTCAACTCGACATTTAGATATATCGAAGATGTATTATCAATTACCAGTAGTTACTTCCATTCATATGTCGACGCGATATATCCCAGTGAACTTGAAATAAAGGACACAACAGAGTCTGCAACGTCTGTTTCATATTTGGATGTTTTACTGACTATAGACAAAAAGGGCCAACTAACGACTAAACTGTATTACAAACGAGATGATTTCAGCTTTTCCATGGTCAACTTTCCTTATTTACATAGCAATATCCCGCTATCACCTGCATATGGTGTTTATATCTCCCAACTTATTCGCTACTTAAGAGCAAGGTCCGACAATGATCAATTTTTAAACTGACATAAAAGTTGACATTACTTGGGTTTCATTAACCTCGTCTAAAGTCAGCATTCCGAAAATTCTATGGTCGTTATAATGGCCTTGTTAGCAAATGTAACCTATCACTGGTTCGTACTTTGGCTGGCGTGTTTCATACCAATTGTTAGGCCTTTGTATTGATACTAAATTCCGTCTATCTGATCAATACATGGGGTTCATGGCGGGTGTGACAGGTCAGCAGGGATGTTCACTCCTTCATGGCACCTGATCCCATCTCTGGAGTTTCCAGGGGTCCGTGTTTTATGCCCTGTTTACAGATTTGTATTGTTTATAGATTTTTTTTGTAAGATCGGTCACTGATCGTTATCTTCATCTTTTATCATTCAAAGGATGAAGTTCGTTCGAGGGTTCTTCAAAACGCATGATGCTCTCAAACCAAGTCAATAAATGTTTTGATCAGTAATACCTTTCACTTTTTACTTTTTATAATGATATATCTTGCGCCAACTTCTGTGTTTGTGATTTATGTAAATTTCGTTTACCAGCGCTGCGGATTTCATTTGGTCAATTAAGTAACTGTCGAAGGATGCAAATAAGATATAGTTCATCCCGATTGCAGTGTGTCCAACATTTCAAGGTCCAATAAGGATTTTTAACCGCTCAGTAAAACATTGAAAATGTTAGACTTTCTTAAACGAGTTCCGATGCTATTGAAAAGTTCCTCTTCTAACAAACAAATTAAGCATCTTTACATATAAACTCCCCATGCTCATAGTCTGATACCGGATACTGTAGTTTCGTAGACGCTATATCTTTAAGTACTTTTTATTCAAAAGTAAAGATTTTTACATATAATTATTAAGATTTTACTGTGATGGATGGATCGACACATTTCCTTTAGATCAACATATTTAACTTAAGAAATAAAGCATATGATTTTAACCGACATGATTCATACATAATTTGTTTGAGTGATGTTATTATGTTGAATCTTTGTAATCAAAGGCAAATAACAACCATCAGATAAACGTACTTAAGGGACTTAAAGATTTCTTTGAGGTTTAATATAGGACGTAACATAACAAAAGGAAAGATAAGTGTACAAAAGTGTACATAAGTGTACAAAAGTGTACAAAATCTATATTGTAAGTATTGTTCTTCTCAAAATACTCAAGCCCTTTTTAACGATTTTCATATAAAAGCGCATTAATTTGTATATTAAGCATCATAGCGTATATGTAAGCATGTTTCCTAACATTGCCTTTTGTTTGTTGTGTATTACAGTTACGGCCGGGTTGTCTGCTCTTACTGATGACGAAATACAGAACGTCACTAGTCTGCTGGGACAGGAATCAGGTGGCAAACCAAACACAGATGTCTTCAGACAGCTACTGAACCAGGAGACCCTGATCAGAATGGCGCTGGTGAAAAATGTCCACGCACTGATGAAGGATATGGTAGAAATGAAACAAACGATGGTTGTCAACGACGGAAGACTTCGGGAGGCTGAGAAAGAAATCAAAGAACTCAAGCAAGAGGTGCAGACACTGAAGTCTGAAAATCATAAAATAAAGCAGCAGTCTACAAAATTCCTGCAGAGATTCACGGATTTAGATAAATTATTTAAAGAAATTGATAAAAATTTCACAAACTTCACAAATAGCCGCGTTGAATATGAACGAGAAATGGACTCAAAAAGACGGGAATATGAGAAAAACACTTCCGGTATACTGGACGATATAAAAACAGAAGTTCGTTATTTGTCGGTGACTTTGTTAGATCTTAATAAACACACTCTAGAATTGGATAAATCTATTCCAAACCTCATCGAAAACAAAATAACACTTTTGTCAGGAAGGCTGAATGTTTCACTAGAAAATTTGAGTGACGATATAGCAGCATCTTTTACTTACAGTGTGCAGTTGTCAACAAACTTATCTGCTCTGGGAAAATATCAGGAAAGCATTAAGAGAATGATTTCAGGTATATTCAATTTTCAGTGAAAGATGTGGAACGATTGCTTTCTCGTATTTTACTTTTTTCTTTATTCACTTCCAGAAAACCTTAATAAGACAATTCATGGTTTGAAAGCGGACGTTCAACAATCACAGAATGACCAGCAAAAGTTGTCGTCTGCTGTGGCGTCCTTGGAAGTTTTCAAACTAAACATGTCCTTAAACAGCTGTGGTAAGACTAGATAATCATTGTGTTTTACAAAATGATAATAAGTATAAAATAATAATATTTTATTCTTATCACATATTTTTACTGTTGTACTGTTTCATCTGCATTATTTATTGCTAATTTATCACTTTATCAAACAAATTTTTATTTCTGTACAGCTAGTATTTAATTTATAAATCCATACTAGCCAAACAAGTTTTGAAAAAGTATTATTAAATAATATAGAGTAGACATTGAATAAAGCATATCAAGTAGTATGTAATGAAATGTTTTTATCAGATATCTCATCCAAAATAATATGTACATATAAACCATAATATTCTATGTAGATAACAAAATCGCTGGCTTCCAGGAAAGTAGCAGAATTTCTTTCATTTTGATATAGCTAAATCAGGAAAATTTAAGGTAGCTTCTAATAGGAAAATTTGATAATATTTTAAATACCATAAACAGAGCAGCATTTTGCCCGCTATTTTCATTTTTACCACAACGATAATGAGAAAAGAAATATAATGGAGGGGGTAGAAGATATCTTATCGTTTGTCAAATGATAGGATTTTTTCAAAGATCAATAGAATTGTCTTGATGATTTCAATTTCATACTGTTGAACATTTACATGTAGTACAATGAAATATGAAGATAACAACCACTAATCAAGCTCAAACGTCCATTGGAACAATTCAAATTGAAAGCCGAGCAAACACGGACCTCTAAAAACATCAGAAGTAGGATCAGGTGCCATGGAGGAATAAATCATCCTTTGTCAACCGCTCACACTCGCCGTGTCCTCCTTGTCATGATCGGCAAACGGAAATCCGTAGACAATTCAATGTGAAAATAATGACCTAAAAATTTGTATGAAAAACGAAGTCAAGATTCCACTTAACGATAAATTGTATTTGCTAACAAGGTCATTGTATCAACCATAGATTGCCAAATGTTTACTTTAAACAATATCCATATATCATCAACTTTTTTGTCAGTAGTTTGCTTCGTTTTAGAAATTGTTCGTGTAATTATCTTTTAGATCTTAGACCAATTGGATTTTAGCTTGAGATACCTAAAAATCAAAATTCAGGAAATAATTTTCATTCTTTCTCTTTTTTCATAATTGTCCATTTTTGAGGTTTGTCAAGTTGCTAAATAGTAAATAAGTAGTAAATTTAAAAATAATTTATCTCCATGACAGTTCGAGGATTACAATCAAACAAATTCTGACGGATTATGTGTTTCACAAATTGTTATATTGTTGTAGCACAAATAAACGAATGAAGAGAGAGATCCAGAAAAGGCCAATAAGGTTTAATCATTTAAAATACACAGTATAGGATGGATCAAGGAATAAAAAAAAGTCTTCTAAAAAGTAAAGTATTTTAACTCCTTTTCAATTTCTACGATTATCTTACTTTTTATTTTCCCATATTTTCAAACTGAATCTTTTTTTAAAGCAAATTAAATCTCTTACCTTGTGGGGAACAGAGAATTTTTATAATTGATTTAATGATTCAGTAAAACATTAAGTAAGTATGCTCTTGTCTTGGGCCTACATGTGTAAGTTCCTAGCATTTCGAATTTGCTAATTAGTAAGGTAAATCTTCTAGATAAGACTAGACTCTCTAAGCAAATGTATAAAGGAACACAAAAACAATAAAAAAAAAATTCTTGTGGATACTATTACTTCATATATTTAGACACATGGAAGCCGTGTGTAAAATTTCACAAACAAAATGGAAGAAGGGATTCGTAATATGAATTAGGTAAAGTGAAAAAATGGAGATAACGGACAGTATTCAAGCTCAAAGTCCATTAAAACAATACGAATCGGGAGCAGAGCAAACACGGGCCTTCAAAAACATTAGAGGTGGGATCAAGTGCCATGCAGGAGTGAGCATCCCCTGCCGACCGGTCACACCAGCCGTTGCTTCTTGTCATGATCGCGAAAAACGGGAAAATCTGTAGACATTTCAGTGTGTAAATATGACGCCAGTTGAAAGATCGGGGTTCTCTAAACTTTGGCCCTCTTATAATAAGTGATTTATGGTCCTCATTATTAACTATATTTATGTCACCAGTAATGACGTGTCCAGCAGGAATAATTGTAGGGTCAAGAAGAACATGAACACGTTGGAGGATTATGTTTCAGATGCTCGATATCTAGGCACTGTGACAGTCGAATTTTTTTCATAATTAAAAAGTTTGGAAGCAGTAGTCGATGTATATTTGTAAAAAATAGAAGGTGTGGACTTAACTTGAAATATGGTGGAATGCAAAATTGGAAGATAACAGTATTTGATCTCAAAAGACCCACCAGCAATACAAATCTGTGAACAGGGCATAAAACAGGTGGGATCAGGTGCCTAGGAGGTGTAACATCCCCTATTTACCGGTCACACCCGTCGTGATCCCTATGTATTGATCAGGTAGACGGAATAATCCGTAGTTAATACAATGGCCTCAACTGGTATGAGACATGTCAGTCAAAATACGACCCCCCCCCCCCCCGTGATAGGTTGTATCCTCGTGATTATATCCTTTTGATACGCAAATCACACTTGTAAATGCTTCTTAATGATTAACTCAATATTAAATGAAAACAATATTCAGTTCTTGTGAGTATCTTTACACAAAAACTTGCTGTATTCAAAACTTAAGTTTGATATTTATTTTTCCTTTTCTTTTAAAATAGGTAATACGGTTCACGTAGGATTTACTGTGGGTATGACGAGTCGCCACTCCACCTGGGCTGGAAGTACCCTAGTGTTCCCTCATGTTGTCTTCAATAACGGAAATGGGTACAACCCCAGCACTGGGATATTTACCTCACCCACGGCCGGCACTTACGTCTTCTTTGTAAATATTAACACTGATGGTGCTAATTATATTTACTTAGATATCGTACTTAATGGGAGTTCAAAGGTCAGAACAATGTCGTACAATTCTGCAACGTATATGACTGGAACAAACATGGCCGTCCTCCAGTTATTTAAAGGCGACACAGTTTGGATTAAACGCAATGTTGGGAAGAGCTACTATTCCGAAGGTGTACCAATTACAACCTTCTCTGGTTTCCTTTTATGACTTAATAAAACGACAGCTTAATACTGAATGTTTATACCTGTCTGTATTCGAATGCAGAGTTGATATCGCATATAACAAAAGGTGTGTTGTCTTAGAAAATACTAATAAAAGACTAATTATAATGCGTTGACTAAAGAAGTATAGTATTATGTACTGGAGAAGAAATATAAATTCTCACTTCTTGTAAATCAGATTTGTTTAGTGTTGGCATTTTTCATTTTTCACGTGTAGTAGTTCTTTTTTTTTTTTTTTTGCTTAATGTTTCTAACTAAATGTTGTTACTCTATTTGTATTGTAGTATTGCATATTATGAAAGATTAAATTTGGGATTAGAAGGAAATTTAAGTAAGAAGAACACTGTTTAATGAATTTTAATTTTTTTCAACATCCCATCTATGTATAGTTATATTCCGCTATCACTTTATTTATTGTACTCAATATGCTGTTGTTTCTTGGAAGTTTTCGAATTGAACGTCCTTTAATAAACTCTAAGTCCAGTTAGAAATCATTGTGTGATTTATATCATTTATAAATTTTTATTATTAAAATATATAAAATTATAATTTTCATTATAAAGGTTTAAATGTTTTACCTTTGATCAGCCTCTTTTAATACTAAGTTCTCTTTTATTATCCAGCTTCTTTTCACTCTGTATAAATGGTACATTGTATAATCTATTAAACATTTTATTTTCTTATCTACCTCCTCATTAGTTTTTTACCTTTTGACTTTTCTTGTTGATTATAGACATACTAATATGAGAGCAACACACGGGCTTATAAGTCAGTTAAGATAAGAAAACATACAATGTATCGTACAAAATAAACATGTAGCTTACATGTTCTTCTGTATGATATCCTTACTTTAAAGAGACACAATGAGTCAAAATGATATGTATCTTTTTATGATATTTGTATCATTAATCTACAGACATAAAAAATGAAGAATGGCAAAAGTTTGATTATCTCAACTGCACAGAAAAGATTGCAAAATATAAATGCCGGAAAAACAAAGATTATACCTCACCGTTAATATCGTCCATGCCAAGATCATGCAACTTTTACTTATTGCGTAAAACTCTTAAACAAATTTAAATTAAAGGACTGTGTTTAGATTATCTTTTTCGAAGATTGAATCAAAGTTCTCAGTCGATCTATCGACTTTTCACTTCGTGGGACTTGGGACCATAGCAACTTGTCCATTTTTTTTCTGTGCACATGCGTACAATAATGAGGAAGTTTGATTGATTGTATGTTGTTTTACGTCCCATTCGAGAATTTTTCACTCATATAGAGACGTCACCATATACCGGTGAAGGGCTTCAAATTTTGACCTTTGCTCGGCACTCAGGGCCATTGAGCAGTGAGGGATCTTTATCGTGCCAACGCCTGTCGTGACACGGGGCCTCGGTTTTTAAGGTCTCATCCGAAAGACCCGCAACCTTCACTTCAAAGTGCCGAGCGCATGGCGAAGGAACAGTTGCTACCCATTTTTTATCGACTTAGGTCAGTCGCGGCCGAGATTCGAGCTCACGACCTCCCTCATTATTAGCGAGCGCTAATAATGAGGAAGATGTGAAGCATTATTATTTTTTTTTTATCCATAAAAGATTTTTTGTAAGACTTTGCGTGAACTGAAAATTGTAATGAAATGTTATTCTTTCAAGAATTTAACAAAATTTTCATGGGTCATGCAAAAATTAAACTTTTCCGTTTTTTAGCGTGACTGTATCTCTTGAATCAACGTATCTTCGAATGCAAAGAGACCATATAAATATAAATTTCGATGTCGTTGTTATAACAATGGTTCTAGACTTTATTCCACTCCTAAAAGGACCTCATTCTCTATCCTTAAATATCCACCAATTATAAAATACTCATATCAATGTAAAGTATTATAGAGTAGAAATGATCTATCAACAGTAATTTTCCAAAATTCAATTTTCTAAGCTGTAAGTTATTATCAAAAATTGTATTGGGGTCTACGGAGACAGGCAAATTTTTAAAAATAAGAATTCCAACACTAAGAATATCAGTAAATGCTGCGATGGAATGGCATATTTAATCATTAAGAATAGAATAACAATTGTAAACAATATTTTCGGATAGATTTTTTTAAAAATTGATCTTATTGATTAAAAGCAAAGGAAAGGGAGATAACTCATCAGGGACAGGTCAAGGTCATAAATAAGGTCACACTCTGACACACTGATGTAAAAGGTAAAGAACAGTGATCGATCTCAAAAATCTATAAACACTATAAATCTGTTAACAGGGTATAAATCACGGACCCCCGGAAATTCCAGAGGTGGGATCAGGTATCTAGGAGGAAGCATCCTCTGTCTACTCGTCACACGTCACACCCACCCTGATTCCTATATATTGATAAGGTAGGTGGAATAATCCATAGTCAAATTTGATATAAAAACAATGACCCAACAATGGGTATGAAACATGTCAGTCCAATGATAGGTCGAATCTGCAAACAACGTCATTATAACGACCATAGAATTTACAAAATGTTGACTTTAAACGAGGCTGTTAAAATCCCTGTTACATCAACTTATTTGTCAATAGTCACCCTTGGTTTAAAAATAGATCGTACTCAGAGCATTTTCTTGTGTATCGAATAAGCTGGGAGACATAAACCCCACTGGAGGTGATAGTGGAACATTACTACCTAAATAAAGAAAGCTGACGATGGAAAAGCTGACGTCATCCAGTGTGTCATACAGTTGTTAGTTAGCCAGTGTGTCATACAGTTGTTAGTTAGCCAGTGTGTCATACAGTTGTTAGTTAGCCAGTGTGTCATACAGTTGTTAGTTAGCCATGGTCGTTTTTAGTCAGTACGACATCCAAATATGAAACAGATATTGCATACTCTGTTGTGTCTTTTATTCCAAGTTCACTGGGATATATCGAGTCGACATATGAATGAATGTAAGTAATGTTAGTTGATAAAGTGCCGTCGATATATCTTATGCATGTCGAGTTGACGGACACATCAAGAGTTTTCTTTTTTCTCATTTAGAAGTTAGTAATAAATGGGAATTATGTCTAAATAAACTGAGTATTCAACACGTACATATCTGTTGTTTTCAATTTTATTGAATCAGGCGCTATTAAGAGTGATGCTTTAAAGAAAATAAACTGTGTCTCTTGCTTTGGATTTGCGAAAGTATATGGCACATTTCCGTTTAGTTTACACATGGTGATAGTTCGTTTCTTCTTTCTTCTAAATAATTTAAACATGTGAAAAGAAAATGCTTTTAAAATAGAATCTCTGAGTACCTGTGCATAGGATCTAAATGATTTTTAACAATGCATTTTTGATTGATTTCTGAATAAAATCCTGATTTTAAATTTTCTGAAAGTTGTTTGGAGGTTTTGAGAACATACATTTGATTTACACCACTTCTTGAATATTCTGTAGCACAGTTAGTCTGAAGGGAACTTCACTTAACATTTTGTGAGGAGTAAAGATAGAGGATTGGAAGTACATTTACTGGATCCTGCAATGTATCTTTCTTTCTTTCGACCTATTTTTATATTCCTTTGAATCAGAATTTATTCAAAAACTTCTAAATGAGAAGTAAACACTAGCTGTGGCCTTCAACTGATAGATAACTAGATAAAGCGACAACTCGACATTTTATCATTGGTCATTTGCAAAATTATTTTGTTAAAAAAATTCTGATTGTACACACAAAAACTCTGAATATGATATTATAGAGATGATTGAGCTTCTGATTGACCTGATATGAAGTTTATGTCTCCCATTTGATTCGATACGCAAGAGCGTGCTCTACGTACTAACAATTTCTTAAACGAGGCAAACTATTGACAAATAAGTTGATGCAAAAAGAATACTAACAGTCTCGTTTAATGTCAACATTTCGCAAATTCAATGGTGAATACAATGACCTTGTCGGCAACTACAATCTATCACTAAATCGAATGTTAATTGACGTTTTTGATACAAATTTTTGGGATATTATTTTCGCACTGTATTGTCTACGGATTTTCACGGCTTTTGACAGGTCGACAAATAAAATGTAGAAATTTATTTCAAAATTTGGATTATTTCCCTCATGCATAACTCTAATCATTCGACGTATTTGGCTCCAGTCTCTGGCATCCTCCTTTCAGCTCTTTAATTGTTTTTATTTAAATATTTCAGATTTCAAAAGTTTCGGCATGAGCATCACTGAAGAGACAAAATTTGTCGAAATGCGCATCTGGTGCATCGAAATTGGTACAGTGAAATGTATGGAGATAACGAGCAGTATTCAAGTTCAAAAGTCCATTAAACAATATACAATTTGGAGCAGAGGAAACACGGACCTCTAAAACATCAGATGTGGAATCAGGTGCCATTGAGGATAAGATTTACATACAGGGGATACTTACTCCTCCATGGCACCTGATCCCACCTCTGATGTTTTTAGAAGTCAATGTTTGCTTGCTCTAAATTTGTATTGTTTCAAGGGACTTTAGAGCTTGATTACTGTTCGTTATGTTCCTATTTCATGGTCGTTATAAATATAACTGGCAAATAAATCTATGTTTGGGTCATATTTTGTCTGATAAATTTCAAATCAATTGTTATGCCTTTATTTTCATTCTAAACATGACTTCGAAATATTCCGTCCCGTCTACCTGATCAATATATAGGGCTGACGGCGGGTGTGACCTGTCGACAGGGGATGCTTGCTTATTCCAATGCACCTGATTTCACCTCTGGAATTTCCAGGGGTCTGTGTTTTATGCTCTGTTCATATATTTTTATTGTTTGTTGGATTTTTTTTAAATAGATCATTGTTTGTTATCTTCACCTTTTTCATTATGATGTTTCTGTATCCTGTATGGGTTAGAAACTCAGCAAATTGTTAAATTCATACCTTTCACAAAGAGGTTAAACTAGGGTAGGAATAGAAGTTTTACAAAAATCGTTCTGGTGTTACAAATTGATCACTCAATTTTGAAGCATTCCAATTTGTGAGGAAATAAGATTGTTTTCACCCTAGGCAGGAACACACTATCTGGGGCAGTTTCATATTGTCATATTAGTAAAATAAAAAATTGTTACGTGTTCTCAAGACCATAAGTGTTTTATTTACCCTTGTTTAATTTTATATGGGCATAATAAATCATGTATATGCAAACGGACTTTAAATACTTTTCCAGTGGCTTGTCATAATGATAAATAATTTGCGCTCA